GGGAGGGGGGAAGCAAAAAGCATAACCCAGGGTTCTCATTTTCATATGTAAACTAGATGCAGAAAATGCAACCAAACTTCTGTAGATTTTGCTGTTTTGAATAACTATGTCATTTAAAGCCAATTTTGACTTTTCAAATTTGAAACATCACACTCTAATGGCAAATGAAATTTTGCCCACTATTTCTAGCTGCAGTCAAAGGCAGGGATTCCATTAAGATTTTCATCGGCAATTATTGCTTTTCACAGGCAGGCAAAACTTCTTGAATTGAACTTTTTTTACAACAAAAACATTCCTCCAGATGGTCAAACCAAGAAGGTAAAATCTGTGCCAAAGCCAGTTAATTGGCCTGGTGTCCAGCCCTTAATGAAACTCCTGCAGAGGGCTACAAACAAATCAACTTTACGGCCTGTTCGTTGGGCCTGTTGCCTTGAAAAGTTACTAACTAAACAGTAAATAAATATATATATATCTATAATTTGTAATCCTATTGGTGTAAAATGTCATTATTAACAAAGTGATACATACCATCAAATCCTCATCATTAAAATTTTGTCATGACAGGGCAGGAAAAAACCCAGGTTCAACTGCCCAGGGAAAGTAAATTTTGCTCTTGGGCAAGTGAAAATGGAAATTTGGTGGTCTGGTGGGAAAGTGACATTAGCCTCAGTAACCCTGTTAGTAATACTATAAATACAAGGGGTTAGTTTACTTTGCTGCATTCATCCTCTGTTATAGTCTATTGCTGATTATAGATAGTTCCTAGTAAATGATGTAGTTGATAAGACATAAACGTTGCATGCCTATTTGAAAAGTAATATTTTAGTGGGGGCAAGTGAAAACTGAAATTGTGCTGGCCCACTGGATTTCAAAATTGTTTTCCTGCCATGGATCAGTGTAGAGAATCGTTTATTTGAGCCTGGGACCATAAACTGCTGATTGGTCAGTTCACCCACCTTTCTGACTCTCCGATAACTCGTCATCAACATCATCATCGCCATTGTCTGCACTTTCTTCCCACGAACCTCTTTTTGGAGCATCTTTAATCCTAGTAATTCAAAATTATAGATTGACATATTTCTAATGTTTACTTAGGGTGCATTCCTTTGGGATGATTCAGATCAGGGCCAGTAAACCAAGATCACTCGAATTATGACCAGTGCATCAAAGGAACTGATAAGTCCTAGACCAGAGTGGATTTATTGACGCACCATGATCCAAATGATCTTCAATCAGTAATCCTGATCCAGATCATCCCAAAGGCGCCCCCCCTGAAAACATTAACCATGTCCTAAATAGTTTCACAAGGTTGTGTAGACAATATTATTTTCCATGGTGTAAATATATCTTATTATCTTTTTTGTGTGTAGTATCGCTGTGTATTTTTATGATTTGTGTTGTATTTTGATGAGCCTGTAGGGCAAGTCAAAATACAAACAATGAGTAAAAGTATAAAGCGACACTACACACCAAAACATCTAATAAGAGGTTTATTAACCAACTGCTGAAGTCAATAAATTTATCAATGAAAGAGGGAGAGTGTGACAGTTTTGCATGCGCACGCCGACCTGTATGGCAAACAGGTTTTCTACTGTACAAATAACTGTACAATATCACTGTATATTTGTACTGTTTTTTGGGAGGTATTCGCTGCAGTAGGATAATAAGTACATATATCAGCTGGTCTTACACAAGCATGTTTTAACGCGTTGAAAAAAATTGCCACAAATCAATGAAAAACTCATTTAAAAGATTTTTCAGTGTCAGGTGACCAAGTTGTGACATTATTGATATTTAAGGAAAACCTCCTGCAATGACATAAAGAATTGAACTCTGCTAAGATTTAAAGAGCAGAAAACTTGTACTAAACATTTATAAATGTTAAGGTTTTATTTGTGTTCTTTCCATCAAACTAGTAAAAACAAAATTATACTCAAAAGTTTGCGGAATTTAAAAAGCGGTAAAATCTTTTTTTAAAAAGTGTTATAACTACACTTTAACTGTCTGAGGCTCAAAGACATCTATGTACAAGCTCCCAGTTTTCTTTTACATTTACCTGTCATGCAAGTTTTCTGGATCTAACTTTTCAGGATCAGCCTCGTCATCAGAGAATGGCTCCACAGTCCCTTCAGCTCCTTCATCGTCAGGATCTTTCCATTTGTTGTACGGTGTTGGGGGTTCATTGATCTTAATGTGGCCATAGTCTTTATCCGGGGGATGATGTGTCATCAAAATGTTCATTTCATCCCAGTGAATGCCTGAACTGAAATTTAAAACATTAATTTCCAGAATTTTAGTCTCGACGACTAATCAGGGGTGCTGCTTACAGGGCCTGTTACTGGCTTATTTACTAGCTGACAAAGAGCTTAAATCTGGCTGAAATTTCACATGAGAACAAAGACTTGGGGTAAACGTTGGACCTGGCAAGGCCAGAAAAGCCGGCTTACTGTTTTCTTAGCTACATCGCCACAAAATAGCACAAAAACCCTGTCTGGGGATTAAACTTTGGCATACAGGTTAATGAGAAATTTCCACAAACAATCTTGCCTGTCAGTAACTGTTTGTGGTAACTTCCCTTCTGTTTTAGGCCATATCTTCTGACTAGTGGATTTTAATTTTGACATGTGCCAGATATGAGCCCACAAAATACAATAATATCATGTCACTGACAAAATACAATTCTAAAATCAATTGTTATTAAGTTCAGTTCTGGCGCGTAATAAGAATTCATTCTTATCCTTGTTTCACGCTCTCATGCAGTTTATTGGAGACTTAATTTTCAGTGCTTGGTTTATTACCTCCTAAACTATCTCAGGACTTTGATTCTATCTAGTATGGAAATTTCTTTTATAGTTATCTGATACCCGAGTCAGAGTACACGGCAGATGTTTCTCAAAGTAACGAAACCTTTGCTTGTCAGTCAGTCAAAGTTAATTTACAACATGCGGTAGTATTTATGATAACAGGATGATCGGAAGGAAAATTAGCAGATCAAATAAGGAAACTTGTGGTAGCAATCAAGCTACATTGCAGTAAGGATTTTTTTTAAACGAAAATTATTTAAAAAAGCCATTTTTTCAAGAAAGAAAATTACCAGAGAAGCATAAACAAAAAATGTTAGCGTGATAACCATCTGATGCAGAACAAATTATTAATGCTGAAATAAAAAGCAGGATTGTAACAGAACATAAAATAAAAATCAAAAATTAAAATATTATTGTGACTAAAAAGACTCAACCAAATGATATTTTGCCAGTGAGATTTTCTCACAAAACAGAGTTATTTTCCCTCGAGATCACACCTTACACAATGTAATTAGGACGTTTATTTGCCTCCAAGCCACACACCAGCAATAAAGTCAGATTGGACAATATAAAAAATTCATTACTTGAACAATATTTTTTTTCCTTATGGTGTTCATTGACAACACCAATTTGCACAAGAATGTGAAATGTTTTCCTGTGAAAGAAAATTTTCAGTCACATATCAGTCCAAGAATGTGACATAATTTTTACCTCAATATTATTTCATGTGCCTGTAGGATGTATAAAGCTTATCTTATCCATTAACCCTAAGGTCGGTTTTTTATAAAAAGACAAAATAGTTATTGATACATCTTTGGATAAGACTTAAAATGTTATGGTATACTTTTACCACTTACAAAATAGAACAACCCCATAAATATTTGAACTAAGAATTATCCCTTCACACTTCTTAAATATTCATCCTGCAGACGACAAAACAGTGGGGGAAGTAAGCATAAATTCAACCCTATAATTAATGACACCGAAAACATAAGCTTGTGTTTTAGAGTAATTTTGTAAGCTTATCCGCGCCCAAAGAAAATTTTAATAGGTTGTATGGACATATGGAATAAAATTTCTCTACGATTTTCAACCCACTCCAAGAGTATAATTCAATCCAAAGGATGCGATCGAGGTATTTATCACCTAAACTAATGGAATTGCCACCTTATTTGCCGCTCGCTTACAAGGTATAAATTGAAAGTTTAGCAGATTTCTTTCTCAGACCTGAGACACTTTGTAGTGTCTCAGATTTCTTTCTCAGACACTGTTTTATTCCAAAACAAGTAACCACTTACGCCATTCTGAGAAAATTACTTTCTTATAAGACTAATAAAATGGACAGAAAGTGAAATATTCTTTATTCCCAGAACCTTAGATCGACAAAGTGTATATTCCATCAACCATGCCACAATATTTGTTCACCACGGTGTAAATGAGGGAAAACCATTTCTCGTGAGCCGTAAATCATGGTTTATGATTATTTCTTAGCGAATAACAGTTATTCTTCGAATGTCGGAAAGTCTCAGGGTGACGAAGAGGGAAATAAATGATCTGTATCATTGATTTTGCTCAAGAGCACGTACTTTCGGAAAAGAGCGTGCATTAGGTCAGGAACTCCCGAGATCGCGAGACGATGGGAAAGTTCGTCCACAAAGCAAAAACGAAACGTTCTCTTTGGGAAAAATATCACGAGATGAAATATTTAATTTCTAGTGATACTTACTGGTGTTTATCTTCGGACTTGTTCCTCAGAATCCCTCGTTTAGGCTGGCTAGTTTCTTCCTCCATGTTCAATAATTTTCCCACTAACAACTTTGTGACTTTAACCCAGTTTGCCGCGGGCAATAATCTGATTCTCGGGATCGGAGATAACCCGCGGGAGTGCGGGTCGCGGAAAATTTTAGCTGTCAAAGAATCTTTTAGGTGCACTCGAAGAAGGATAATCAAAAAACGCTCCTATTTTCGATTTTAGGCTCCATTTCCGCCGGTCTCTCGAGTCCGACCTACTAGCGCGGGCTGTTGCTCTGGACAGCGGCTTGTAACTGAGCCTACTCCGTTTTAGAGGTCGAGCCTCACCTAGAGTTGTCCTCTTCAGGGGACAAATAAAAATTCAAATTTTCCGACAAGCATTCCCGACCTTTTCATATGGGGGTCCCCCTCCTAGCTGTACTAAAATCAACGAATCAGCATTTACTCCGCTACACACTCCATCATGGAGCCTGTTCCAGAGGCTTCTTTACAGGTGGTTCAATAGTTGTAATTATGGGACCTACCAGGCGTTTCCTCTGTACACCCTAAATAAGACCAGAATCCTTGATTTATGCCCCTAAGCGAGACGACGAGTATCCCCGACCTTTTCATATGGGAGTTCCCCCCGGGGGGTTATCTCAGCTGAATGTCGTGTAACATGGACCGAGTGGGGAGAACACCTGTGCGAGGTGTCACAGTGAACCATTTCTCCTTCCCGGGCCCTGCCTAACTCAGTCAATGGGAGTCAATGATATATTTTAACTTATATATCTCCCTCATTGAGCTTGATGGCATTAGAAAATTGCGAAAATGTCTTAGTGAATACCCAGGATTATGGATTGTGCACGACCAAAGTGCACTCTTGGTGCACACCAAATGAATTGCTGAAAAGTGTCGCTGATCAGACTGCTTGCGCCTGTTTCTCGAAATAAAGTGGCTTGGCAGGATGATGCCCATGTACTGACATGTTCATCGGCCGTTAACACGTTAGTTAACTCGCGTTTGCTGTAGATGCTTCTCTCTGGGGACAAAAATGATGAGGATTATTGCTTTTCTACAGGGCGCCGTCAATGGTGGCCGGTCGTTTCGCCCACAAGTCGTTTCGCCTTCAAGTCGATTCGCCTACGCTAAATACTGATTACTAAATACTAAATACTTATCTAAAAATTAACACGCCGTTCCGTGACAACACGCGGTTAATAGGCAACAGCGTCAGAAATAACAGTACCCGGTACCGTGGGAATCCCATGGCAAATAATTTATATTTAACAATTAGATTATGAACTCGAGATTTCTATGAGGTGATGATGAGGCCGGAGGCCGAATCGACTATCGCCTCATAGAAATCGAGAGCGAATAATCTAATTGTTTTAGTAGAATTCTAACTTATATTAACGCAAATAATGGTTTCCAAATATTTTTCGACGCATTATTGAACTTTATCCTTTAACAAAATCGCACGTATTGAATTGTCCTTGGTAAATTTGTGGTTG